CAGCCTGGAACTGCACTGCCTTCCCCTGTGAGAGGGGGTTTGATGTGCACAAGCAAATCCCTTCAAACACTGGAGTCCCACAGCTTTGTCCCTCTGGTTTCATTTCACCCTAAAGTAGCTGTTAACGCTGGGTTTTTTTCCCCCACCACTATCCCTTAAGGCGCAAAGGCTGCTGGCACACCGGAGACCACGGAAATCCTTCTTTGAGACGCTCATCAGGAGCCTGATCATCTTGTGCGTGGCGATAGCGGTGGTCTTGTCATCCATCTCTGTCTGCGATGGCCGCTGGCTCTTCACGAGGGGGCAGCTCTTTGGACTGTGGCACTTCTGCACCGTTAGCAATGGCAGCGTCCTGAAGTGTGTCACTGACCTCAGCCTGGCCAACGTGGAGGGGCTGAGCGTGGGGGTGATTCCCATAAGAAGCATGGTGTCCTTTGCTGTTGTGGTTGCTATATTTGGCCTGGAGCTCCTGATGGTGTCCCAAGTCTGCGAGGATGCCAATGCAAGACGGAAGTGGTCTGTGGGCTCGATCCTCATCCTCAGCTCATTTTTGCTGTCGGCCACTGGGGTTCTGAGCTTCTCCATCCTTGTCAAGGATCACCTCACCTTCATGGGCTTCACACTGACGTACTGGTGTGAGTTCGTTGCTGCCTTTCTCTTCTTCCTTAATGGGATCAGTGGACTTCACATCAACAGCCTCACACAAGCCAGGAACAGCATAGGCAAAATCTAGGTGCAAAGGGTGTAACTCTGCCTTTGTGTAATCAGCTTTGCCAATTAGACTGGAAAAAAGGGAGTCTAATGAAGTTTGAAAAGGACACCGTGTCTTAAGTTGTGTGCAAAGAAGGGAAGCATGAGTCAGTCTTGATGCCTAAAAGACATACCCACCCACTGGTCAGCATGGAGGGCTGCGCAACACAAGCAAAGCAGAGACTGGGACTGGCTGCCACCGCAATGCGTTTTTCTGGAGGAGTGGTTAAACACACGGAGGGGTGGCAGACTGCGATCTACACATGTGGGCTCAATTTTGAGGCTTACACAAAGCCTCTACTGCTGTGGGATTGATGTTGCTGGGCTTTTCCCCAGTACTCTGGAGCCTGTGAAGAGTGTGATGCAACTTCGGTGTGTCTCATGGCTTTGCTCTGTCTCAGGGACAGATGATTTGTGCCTGGTCATGCTCACTGGCATGGAGTATTGAAAATCTTCACTGGATCTCACTTCTCCATTTCTCTTCCAAGAGAGAAGGCACAAAGATCCTGATCTGGTCACCAGTTTTATTTCCTGCTGGCACATTCTCCGTATCTGTTCTTTCCTTGTGAGTTTTTTGGGGACACCACTGACAGAGGCACAGGGAGATGTAGCTGCCTGTAGGACATGTGCCAGTAAGTCACCCAAACGGACTCCCTCACAGTCTTTGCAAAGTTCATTGTAATGGGGCATTGCTCTTCCTGGGTTTTTTTTTTTTTGTCCTTTTGGGGCAAGAGGGACAAGCTCTGCAGCGGCTTTAGGTGGGCATTGTGGCTGGGCAGACCATGCTGAGACCACCGCACCTTCTGGGGTGTGTTTCGGTTGTCAGAGTTTTCTGCTTGGGCAACAGGAAATCTGCTCATCCTGTAGCTGAGAGTCTGCTGTAGCATTTCTTCTGGGAGGAGAAAGCTCTAGATTCTCTTGACCAGACCAAGTCCTTTTTCTTCCTCCCATTAACAATGTGCCTGGGAGGAGGAGAAGCCCAAGATTGCCTAAGGAGGGGCTGATGGGGACAGCTCTAATCTGTCACAGCTGTTGGGCATCCAAAGAGACTTGGCCAAAATTATACTAAGGCTGGTCTTCCTCCTGCCAACTCCTGAGTCAAGATCTCTACAATTGCTGCAGCTTTGAAGTTCCCTGTGGTGTCTGATGTAAAATGAGAAAAGACCTCGGAGGCTGGGTTGCCCCCACGTGTATCCTCCCCGCCCAACATACAGCACTCCATTGACCACAGATAAAAAAGTCTTCAGAATATTTTAGAGTCTCTGGTTTAATGTTTGTTTTTGTATCCTCTGGTAAGACTGCTTGTATTTTTGTGTTGGGACAAATGTTTATGTTTCATCTCTGTAGCTTGTCTGATAGCTGTTGAGCAAGGTTTTCATTTCCTGTGCAGCAAGTTTAACACAGTTTTTCACCTGAAACAAAAGCATCATAACACAAGGGCCGAGAAGGCTGTGTAGGTGAGCCACAAGTAAACAGCTTTGTCTTTGAAAGCTAAGAAGCCTTCCTGATTCTAAAAGGCTAAGTCCTGCCTAAGCATACATCCACACTCGCTGAATGCGCTCCTGTGGACTCACTTGCCTTCATGAGGACAGTCTCCATTCCTTCTCAGATTTCTGTAACTTTTTAAGACAGTGCTCCTAGGCCTGTTTTGTGAAGCATTTTCAGACCAGGCTTGCTCTGGACAGTGCCAGTTGTGCTTTTGCACAGGAATTTGCCCATCTTTCTAGTGAGATCACACACAAAGCTGTGCCAGCCAGCCAACTCATGAAGCTCTTGCAATGTTTGGGGCTCTGTCAGGATTTCTTGACCTGCTCACTCTCAAGGACAAGGACTTGTGCCCTTAACCTGCCTCGGGAAAACCACACTGTGATCATGTCCTTGTGAAGGTGCTTTTGATTTGCTGAATTGCACTGTTGAAGACATGCTAGTGGGCTGAACTTGCAGATGCTTTTGTGGACAGTCTTGGCTTTAGCAGAGCCACTTACCCCAGAGTTATTCTGTAAGGTCCGGTCCCAAACTGTTGCACTTTGGTGTTACCAGGTGGTAGAGTGCCTTAACAAACCGATAAATCAGTTGTGGTGCCTAGGGGTGCCCATACCAGGCAGGACAGTTCCCCTACATGAGGTCAAGGGTGTCCATGGCTTGTCTAGAAACATGGATGTAACTTCAGAGTGCCTTCTTAGTGACATTCAAAACTGGAAATCAATTCTGCATGTACTCCCCTTCGTGCTAGTGGAAGGCTGTGCCTCCAGCCCTTTCCCTGAGGAAAGGCAGCCAGAGCCAGATGAAGTCCCAGGCTGGGGCTTCCCAGGCAGTAGACAATGAGCCACTGAGTTCATCCAAGACTTGGGGCAATTGTGAATGATTTTAGGATGCCCTCTGCTAGCTGAAGAAGAGGCCTTGTGTTGAGGGTAGGGAATCCTCTAGGGAAAATGGAGTACCTTTTTTTTCCATCTGGCTTTGTATTGTACTGCTTGACTTAATGCTGGGAGAAGATGCATTTTGATGTCTAAATACTACAGAAGAAGGTTGATTGTCACAGAGACATCCTTATATATAGCAACCTGTGCAGCAATGGGTAACTGTTCATTTTCTGAAACCTGTGGAAGTGTCAAGCAATATTCCTGAAGTTTGTTAAATAAATTTCTTTGAAATAAGATAACTGTAATTTTCACTTTATATTTAGATGTTGGGGTGCAGATTTAAGGGATGAGTGGGGTTTATGTAATCTCCCAGGCGCCAGTTCTGTGTGTTTACCCAGCTAAACCGATGAAGAAACAACTGCTTGGCACTTTGCCGAGCTCTGACCAAGGGAGCCGAGGCTGTTGCACACTCCCCTCTCCTTTCCCCTCCAACGTGTCCCCACCAACCCAAGCAGCCAGCACCGCTTTCTTGTCTTGCAAAACAAGAGGGGCAGTCAGCTGTGCTGCTTCATGGGAATTGGAGATAACCTTGTAGGCTCTTAATGATTTCCTGCTGTTGCATGTGCTCTGTTTACCAGCTAAAGAGCTCTTTCCTGTGTCCTTCACCTCCCTTTTCCCGCACCGCACCCTGCGTCTGAAGCATCCTTGCTTTTTTTCCCCGCTTGGCTTATTTGACCTGCAGAAGTGGTATCTGAGCACAAATGCATTTATAGAGTTTTTCCTCAAGCTCACTGTACTAACAGGTTTAGTTAAATGTCAGGGAAACAAATTTCCAGCTTTACCACTGAATTAAGCTTATGCAATCTCAAGTAAGTTAATTAGCACCTGGTGTTCTGATGGGAGAAGCCATTGGCCTGTCTCAGAGGGTTTAATATCTCTTAAAAGCAGGATAGTGAACATCATTTCTTGTTAAGGAGCTGTTTAGATTTGCTCAATTACTAACTTTAGTTGGAAACCTGTGCACAAACCATTGCTTGTGGCTAAGAATAAGGGAATGCTGGTACAGGGCATGCTAACTAGGGAGATGTCCAGAACTGTTACTGGTATTTTGATTTTTTTTTAAGCCTACAGTACCTTCCTCAGCTGTGCTTGGAGGAGGGACACTGGGTTTGGGGGTTGAGCTTTGCTTGCTTTTGTGAATCAGGGGAAGGTGATTGCAGAAAGATGACTGTCCTCACCTGCCTTCTCTTTACCTCTGCTGGGGCCTGTGGTAAGCAGGTGATGGCCCTTCTAAACCTTCCGCATCAGCTTGCACGTGTAAGAAGGGCCTCTCTCTTTTCTGGGTGAAAGAAGCGTCTGCCCCGGGGGCTGTCCTGGAAGGGGTGTTGGCTGGGTTCCTGGGGCCTCTCACCTTCACCTGGATCCAACCCCCCTGAACCAGCACCCACCCCCCTTCTGAAGCAGTTCACTTCAGCACCCGCTCGCCCAGCGAGGTGTTGCACAACATCGTTATTCACTGCGCAACAATACTGCCTTTGCTGGGAACTTCCTTGTTGCTGTGCTGGGAGAGAAAATCCATTAATCACTTCCTCTTGAATTCAGCCTTAGGTCTTAGACAGCCGATGTTCAGGCTGCTGGAGCCGCTGCCTGCACGGCTGGCTTGCAGGGCTGCAACTGGCTTCGCAGGGGACCTGGAGTGAATGGCCAGAGGCTGTCACCAGAGTCCCAGAACAATAACAACTACTTGTCTGAAAGATGGTACTCAAGTCGTATTTACTGATAACAAACGCCTGCTTTGTTATCGAGGATCAAGTATAGAGAAAGGGAAGTTGGTGAACTCTGAATATGGAGTTTTGTGTTCAGCCTGTGCCGGCAGTTTCAGGCCGCTGACGCTGGAGTCCGCGTGCCTCGCACCCGTTCATCTCCTGCTTTTTGCATTGCTCGCTGAGATTTACTTCCCTGTTCCTCTTTGTCTGCTTTATAAACATGTCAGCTTTCCCAGAGCTAAGTAACTCATTTCTTTAGTATTCTTCAGGACAGTTAATCAAGAGAGATTCCCAGCAGGGAAGGGTGCTTTTGCATCGCCTGTGCAGAAGGTGGGCGAGGTGAGAAGCCATCCCACTGCGGTGGTGTTTGGCAGCAGCTCTCTACCTCCAGGTCACAGCACCGTAAGGCCCTGGGGCCGCCTGCTTCTGGCACCCACCTGAGTGGACTTGCTTTTCCCAAAAAGCCAAGGACTCCAAATGCCAGCTGACATCCGAGGGTTTTTAATGGAGCCTCAGCTCTTCATACAAACCAGGCCATCTCTCGGTGCCTGAAGCAAACGTCTTTTTGGTTATTTCAGGCAGGTGAAATAAAACCAAAATGGCCATGTAAAACAATAACTTATGCTAGAACTTTTTTTTTTTTTTAAATACAAAAACCATCAGAATTTTATTTTGGGGCATGTGATTTGCCCCTGTTTCGGCAGGACTCCTGTACAAATAGGTATCACACTCAGCCTGGGTCCTAGCCTACCTTGTGCCATCAGTGCTGGTCCTAACTACGCGCTGCAGGGCTGAGCTCTTACACTGGCTTGTGGGAGAGCAAATAATTGCATCAGATCTAATTAATTACATGT